TAAAAATAGTCCCAGCCTATCCGTATAACTCATAACCTCCAGACTCAGAAATATCCTTGTAAATCCTTTTTTGCATCCTTTCCAGTTTAATAACATCCTTTCTATAGCAGGGCAACCAGAATTGTAAGCAAGACTCCAAAAGTGACCGTACCAATGTCCTGTCAGCTGTGACATGACATTCCAACCAGTGTACTCAATGCTTTGACTGATGAAGGCAAGGATGCCAAATGCCTTCTTCACCACCCTGTGTACCTGTGTCACCACATTCAAGAAACTATGCACCTGAACGCCTAGGTCTCTCTGTTCAACAACACTCCCTAAGACCCTAACATAAACTGTATAAGTACTGCTCTTGTTTGCTTTACCAAAATGTAACATCACCTTAATCTCAATTAAACTCCCTCTACCCTTCCTCAGCCCACTAGCCCAGTTGATCAAGATCCTGTTGTACTCTTAGATAACCTCCTTCACTGTCCGCTATTCCACCAATTTTGGTGTCATCCACAAACTTCCTAGCCTTCTATATTCTCATCCAAATTACTTATGTAAAACGACAAACAGTGGACCTTGTGGCACTCTGCTGATCATGGGTCTCCAGTCTGAAAACGCTCTACTGCCCTCCTGTCTCCTTCCGTCAAACCAGTTTTGTATCCAATTGACTGGATCCAATTTGATCTAACCTTACTAACCAATCTACCATGCGGGGCCTTGTTGAAGGCCTTATTAAAGTCCATGTAGACAACATGTACCGCTCTGCATTCATCTATCTTCTTAGTCAGCTCTTTAAATAAAAATTCAGTCAAATAGAGTTGAACTTTGAGTAAGGAATATTTGAAGAAAACCCCGTTTCACCATTCTGGAGCACTGCTACATTATAATGTGTAGTACCCCTGCATCTATCACAAAATCCATTTACAGTGCTACACATTTCTGAAATAAATTGTTGGTTTTTGCTTACAGGAAACCTGTAGAGGGACTTTTAGGAGAAAACATGCTCCACTATTCTCTCACCTCTAATTTTGTTGTCCTTATCTGGTCCTGGGAATTTCTTTCAGTATAGCTTCACATCTGATCCCTCAATTCTGAAGGATGTAAACTTTAGCACATCTGTTGGACAACTTCCTCCTCTTAACCAGCTATTGCAGTATTCTGCCTGAAAGAGTGGTAAAGGCTGGAACCCCCAAGACATCAGAACTTTTTCTAAGATGAAGAATTGAAACACCATAGCATACAAGGCTACAGGCTAAATGCTGGAAAATGGGGTTAGAATAGTTAGATATTCAATGATTGCATGGATACAACAGGTCAAAGGGCCTCCTTCGATGCTGTAAAGACTCCATGACTATGTTGCAATTCAGCTGAAATCAATGTCATGGGCAGTCACTCTATCCTCACTTCTGGAGTTCAGCTCTTTTGTCCTTGTTTGAATCCATACTTTAATGAGGTCAAGAGCTGGATAGTTCTGGCAGAACCCAGAATGATATCAGTGATCAGGTTATTCCTTTGCAAGTGCATCTTGACCACACTGCCAATGATCCCTTCTATCGTTGCTGATGATCAAGCATAGACTAATAGGGCAGTAACTGACTGGATTGGATTCATTCTGCTTTTTATGAATAGGGCCTACTATGAATAGGGACAATTTTCCACATTTCCAATGTTGTAACTATACTGGAACAGTTTGGCTAAGAACAAGTCTTTGATACTACTGCCAGAATATGGTCAGGTCCCATATTTTATGGTATCCAGTGCCGTCAGTTGCCATTTCTTAATATTATTTGGAGTAAATCAAATTGAATGGCATCTGTGATGCCTGGGCTCTTTGGAGAAGCCCAACATGGCCACACACTTGGCACTTCTGGCTGAAGATGGATGCAAATGCTTCAGCCTTGTTTTTTGCACGGTTGTGTTGCCCTCCCCCATTTTTTTCAGGATGGGGATACTTGTCGAGTCTCCTCCTGTTAGTTGTTTAATTACCCATCACCATTCTCAAATGGTTGTGGTAGGACTACAGAGATTAGACTGATTTATTGGTTGTTGGATTTTTAGTCCTGTCAATCACTTGCTGCTTGACATGCAAATCATCTTGCGTTGTGGCTTCATTGGGTTGATATCTCATTTTTAGGCTTACTTGCTGATCCTCAAACGTCATCCTGTGCATTTCACTGAATGAAGAGTTGGTCCCTCAGCTACATGGTAATGATATCTGGGAGATATGCCAGGTCATGAGATTAAAACTTCTGGTTAAATACAATTCTGCTGATAGCTCATAGTGCTTCATGGATGCACAGTTTGAGTTGCTAGATCTGGTCAAAATCTATCCCCACAACTTTAGCACTGCAGTAGTGCCAAATAATACCATGGAGAGTATTCTCAAAGTAAAAATGAGACTTTGTCTCCACAAGGGCTGTGCAGTAAACTCCCTCCCTAATGGCATTTTAGATCTACCTGCAGTAAGTTGACTACGGCGGTTCACAAAGCCAGCACACCATCACCTTCTCAAGGGAAACTTTGGATTGGCAATAGATGCTCGTCCAGCAGCAACACAGATATCCTACAAATGAATTTTAAAAAAAAATAACTACCAATATTCTCATGGCCAGACACATCTGCAACAGGTAGACTGTTGAAGACAAAGCCAAGTAGGTTTTTCCCTAATCAATTCCCTCATCATCTGCACGCAATCTAGCAGCCATATCTTTTAGTACATGGGTAGCTCAATGAACCATGGTATTGAACCATGCTTGGTGATGGAGACTGAAGTCTCTATCCAGAGTGCATTCGGTGCCTTTTCCAGCCTGAGTGTTTCTTCCAGTTGGTTATCTATATGGAGGAATATCGATTCAGCAGCTGAGCCGATCTGGTAAGTTGTACGTTTCCTCACCTGTTTTTGACCTGATGCCATTCAACTTCATAGGACCCCAGTGACACGGAGGTCTGCCAGGGCAACTCGCTCCTGACCGTTTGCCACTGGGCTGCCACCTTTGGTGAATCTATCTGCTAGAATGACAGAACATACCCTGGGATGCTGATGGCAGTGTGTGGGACACAGCCATGTTCACAGAATCATAGCTTACAGACAATAACAAGCTGTTGCTCCTCCAACTGCATAGGTGTCAAGTTCTGGAATTTCCTCTCTATACTTCTTCAACTTTATATCTCTTTCCTCCTTCAAAACACTTGTTAAAACTTACATTTTTGGACAAGCTTTAGGTCATCTGACCCAATCTCTCTCCATTATTTTAGTGTCATACTTCATTTTATAATTTTCCTGGGAACAGCTTTGAAATGTTTCATTACGTTAAAGCTATAAGTTATTGTTGTTCTCTCATTCCTGCTAACATGTTTGGTACACCTCCTAGGTATCCTCTCCAAAGCCTTGACAGTCTTCCTCAAATGCAGTACCCTTGAATTAAAGGTAAAACTGATGATCATGAAATGATGTTTTTCAAAGTCAATTTTGCTTCTAGAATATCTCGGGGGGGGTCCTGAAGCTTTTCTTTTGCTTCACAGACTGTGATAATAAAGCAAGATATACCATCAGACGAGGGTGCAGAGAGAGAAAGGGGTAAAATCTAATCTTTCAGTAATCTATAGGGTGGCATACAAGGAGGAATATAATTAATTCCATCACAGGATAGCATGTATAAGATTTTACTGGAACTCAATATTGTTCAGAAGAAAAATTTGCAATGGGAATACAATTGGTCAAAAACCAAAAACAGAGAACCATATCTAGAAAATTTCTAGAATAGGACACTTTCAGCATGTTCACGATAGGAGTACAAAGCATTATTGCATTACAAATTTATATTGGCAAGCCCAACTATAAATGTCAATATAGTTTGTGTTTTTAAAATAGGACAAGGTTGACCCAAGAAGTTAAAAAATTCAACAGTACTTTTGTGACACTGTGGTGGTGTCCCTACCTCTGAGCCAGGAGGCCCGTGTTCAAGTCCCATCTGCTTGAGAGGTGTGCAATAATATCTCTGAAAAGGTTGAATAGAAAATATTTATATCTATCTTTTCAAGAGTTCTCCAAGGATGTAGTGGCAGTTAAAGTGTATTGCTGTCTGAAGCTGGGATTCGTCGATCTCAGTGAGGATAGTTTCTTTTATTTCTGCTCAATATAACTTTCATGTCTTTTGTTGAATACAAAAATAATCTATAGTTATTAGAGGAGTGTAATGTTTTGCTTAATTATACCCTGCTTGGTTCTCATCATTCAGTGTTTTAGTCTTGCCTGATGGTATATCTGTGTCAAATTTGAAGCATCTGAATTAAATAGTTGGGCGAGGGTTAATTCAAGACTTTTCAAATAGGCCTGCACAGCCAAATTGAACTAACCTGTATTTCTAAAAAAAATGAAATGAAGAAGTAAAGTTACCACATTTCCAGAGAACCAGAGGGCTGCTCTCTCTTTAGCTGAATACCCTTTTAAAACTCGCAATGGCGGAATGATCGAAATTGGCGATATGCAAGAGGCTAGAATTAGATGAGCACAGTGATCTTACAGGGTAGTGTGGTGAAGCAGATATCTAGACTAGGAAGGTCTAGAAGAACTTGGAAACAAGAATGATAAAACGCATTGCTAGGCCAGAGCCAATGTTAGCCAATGCACACAGGAGAGATGTGTTAGCTAAACTTAGGTGAGAGTTAGGGCATGAGCAGTAGAATATTAGCGGAGCTCAAATTTAAGCAGGGTACAAGGTCGGAGGCCAAACAGAAAAGCATTGCAACAACCCACTCTAGAGGTATAAAGGACATTTATAGGGGTTTTAACAGCCAATGAGCTAAGGCAGAGATGGGTAATGTTACAGAGATTGAAGAAAGCTGTCTAGGTGGAGAGAATGGGAGCGCAGTTCAAAGTCAAATAGAATAGCAAGACTGTCAACAGTCTTGTGCAGCCTCAGAAAATACTTTGATCACTCTTGGACATCTAACAACTTGCATGCCCACTTGAACATTTCATTATACTTTGTAAAAACATTTATACTTACTATTCCAAACCGAGCCTCTGGTGTCAACATTACTGACACAGAAAGTGGTCTACAAATAGCTCCAGATTGATAGCGAACCTAGTTAAGAAAAAAAAATAAGAAAATCACATATCTACACACTTTTGTCAAAAATCTTTACATGGCCTCTGAAGATAACAGGTTCATTTTAAGCACTTGAAGACATATAGGTTACTAACTGATAGTAAGCATGGATTTGCTTAAGTAACAGAGGGGGTTGAAGGAGGTGGTGCAGTTCACGTTGTAAATATAGACTGTTAAAATAAATTTGATAAAACATCAAGTGAAAAACTTGTTAGCAAAATTGAAGCCTACAGGATTAAAGAGACAATGGCAATCTGCATACAAAATCAGATTTAAAGTAAAAGAGCAGTAATGAATAGTTGTTTTCAACTGGAAGGAATTACACAATAGTTGGTATTAGGCACACAGCTCATTTTGGCACTATTCATGGCCTGGATTTCAGTATACAGGGCAGAACTGCAAAGTTTCCAGAGGAGGTAAAATTCAAAAATGTTGTAAATTATTAGTAAACTTTTGTAGTAAACTAAAAGGGATTGCTTCCTTCCATCCCCAGCTTTAGTGGATCTCAGGATATGGGTGAATTGGCAGATGTGCTTTACTGCAGGGAAGTGAGTTATTTTGGTAGGAAGATTGAGGGAAGTAAATATAAAGCAAATAGTACAAATTTCATGAGGTGCAGGAATAGAGACACCTGGGGGAAAAGGTTGTACGTACAGAAATCTCTGAGGCCGAGTTGAGAAGGCCGTTAAAAGAGGTGGTGGGAGGGAATCCTGAGGGACAGGACTTACATGTATTTGGAAAGGCAAGGACTGATTAGGGATAGTCAACATGACTGTGTGTGTGGGAAAGCACATCTCACTCACTTCATTGAGTTTTTTGATGAAGTAACAAAGAAGATTGATGAGGGCAGAGCAGTGGACATGATCAATATGGACTTCAGTAAGGCATTCAACAAGGTTCCTCGTGGCAGACTGGTTAGCAAGGTTAGATCATATGGAATACAAGGAGAACTTTCCAATTGGATACAAAACTGGGTGCGAAGGGAGAAGGTGGCGGTGGGGGGTTGCTTTTCAGATTGGAGGCCTGTGACCAGGGGTGTGCCACAAGGATCAGTGCTGGGTCCGCTGCTTTTCCTCATTTGTTTAAATAATGTGGATGTAAACATAGGAGGCTTGGTTAGTAAGTTTGCAGATGACACCAAAATTGGAGGTGTAGTGGATAGCGAAGAAGATTACCTCAGAGTATAATGGGATCTTGATCAGATTGGCCAATGGGCTGAGGAGTGGCAGATGGAGTTTAAGCTAGATACATGTGAGGTGCTGCATTTTGGAAAGGGAAATCAGGGCAGGACTTATACACTGAACGGTAAGGACTTGGGGAATGTTGCTGAACAAAGAGACCTTAGAATGCAGGTTCATAGTTTCTTGAAAGTCAAGTCACAAGTCAACAGAACAGTGAAGAAGGCATTTGGTTTGCTTGCCTTTATTGGTGAGGGAATTGAGTATAGGAGTTAGGAAGTCATTTTGCAGCTGTACGGGATATTGGTTAGGCCACTTTTGGAATACTGCATGCAATTCTGATCTCCCTGCTAAAAGGATGTTGTTAAACTTGAAAGATTCAGAAAGATGTACAAGGATGTATCCAGGGTTGGAGGGTTTGAGCTATAGGGAAAGGCTGAATAGGCTGGAGAGTCAAAGGCTGAGGGGTGATCTTATAGAGGTTTATAAAATCATGAGGGGCACAACTAGGGTAAATAGACAAGGTCTTTTCCCCAGGGTGGGGGAGTCCAAAACTAGAGGGCACAGATTTAAGGTGAAAGGGTAAAAATTTTAAAGGGACCTAAGGGGTAACGTTTCCACACAGAGGATGGTGTGTACGGAACGAGCTGCAGAGGAAGTGGTGGAGGCTGGTACAATTACAACATTTAAAAGGCATCTGGATAGGTATGTGAATAGGAAGGGTTATTATGGACCAAATGCTGGTAGATTATTTAAAGTTTTGGCACAGATCTGTAGCTCAGGTTGTGGTGAGGTGGTTGACTTGTTTTTGTTCAGATGTTTCACCATCATGCTGGGTGACATCATCAGTGGAGCCTCCGATGAAGCGATGTTATTCTACTCCGCTTGGAATTTATACTGTCCAGTCTG